GGTCGGATCGGATACGGAGTTCGCGAACGGACAGAATACGGAGAAACCCGCAATAATGTGATGTGTTTTGCTGGAAACGGTTCGCGTACGGTCCGCATACGATTCCTATTTCAACCGCGCGCGAACGCGGAGAGTCCTTAACGGGTCCGTTCGCAGTTTACCTGTGACGAAAAAAGATGCGTTTTTACATAACGCATAACCTGTAATAGATGGACCCCGTCAAGTTCGAGCTCACTTATCTCGGTAAAAATGAACGATACATAAAATGAGTCAACTGATGAAACTGGCTCGCATTTGACAGTGCGGGGGACCTTATATTACAGGTTTTACTGTAGGTGAAATTTGAATATGACTGTAGTGTCCAACTACTTTGTTCAGTTTCCCCACTTTAACAAAACATTCCGTTTTGTTCCAGTATGATTATGCATCACATGTGGCAATTTAGACACTGTTTCGATGATGTCGTTGTCTTTCAATTTAGACAGGTAATCAAATATTTCAATAGTTTGTTTTTAATTCTTGCTGCAATATGTTGTCTTTATTTTTATATCCCGGTGTGCATCTCCACACCGAGAGAATCGTAAGCCCCACCCCTTCACAGCTCTACTTCATCAAGCTCCGCCTACTCGATAACTTTACCGGCTATTCTAAACCACTGAGTTTTAGAACTGTTTGTTTTCCAAACTCTCTACAGCGAACTCATGCTCTTGGATGCTTTCTTATTCGTTAAGGATGTGTGCAATTTGTTTACCCTGATTAGGATGCGTGCATCACAACCCCCCCCCCCCAAATCTCATCAATTCCAGGACATCCATTTTCTTGGGACATCCCTCAACCTCGTCTTGGCACTATCCATCAGACGCGTCGTCATTCTCATTTTTCTCCTTTTTTCTCCTTCTCATTCTCGACCACCCTCATCATGTTTCTCCTTTTTTTTTGCGTTCTTTTGGTCCTCGCTTTTTGTGCACTTATACCCCATTGCTCTTTCTTGTGGCTTATTTTTTGGCTGTCTCCCATTTTTGACTACTTGGAATAAGCCAGAAATACTGCGCTACGAACCTTGTAGCTTCAGAATAACAAAAAAAGTACCCCAGTTCCCATCCTTGTTTGTCTATCATAATCTTTCCCTTGCTTTATTGCACACCCCACTAAGCTCCGCCCCTCCACCTCGTTGATTCTGAACAGCCCGTTTATTTCCGCTCGCTCGCTCGGTCTCTCGTTTTTTCGCTAGTCCAATTTCGCTTTTTTGTTTTGTTTCGTTTCTGTGAGTCACTGGAAAATTGGCCTAGTTGAAATGGGATCAATCTCGTGTTGTCTTCATTTCGCTCTTTTTTCGATGCATCTTATTTTGAATGATAGGGTCTAGCAAACCCATTTTTTGCAAAATTTCCTGTTCCTCTCTTTTGTGTTTTTTGTATCGTTTAATGACTTTTGTAACGTAAGAAATTCCAGAACAATATGACCAAAAAACGATTTGTTGTTGGCCAAATCAAGGAGGAAGTCCCAGACAACTTTGAGGATTGGACAGAAGAGACTGATTTCATACTCTTCAGTGAGAATTGGACTCTCGATGATGTGGTGAATCTCATCGGTTAGTTTTTATCTTGAATCTAAACCTGGTTTTTTTCACATGGAGTTGTTTTCAGGGGATGAAGTCGAGCAGCCGATTGAAGGAACTTCGGATTCATCGACGATGGTTTCCTCAAGAGTGGATGATGAACCATCCACTTCGTCGTCCGCAGTGCCATGGAAGCTCCGTCAAATAAAACGTTGGTTTTTAAAGAGATTATTTTTTTTAATCTATGATTTTCAGAAGAACCGCTAGATGAGGAGGAAGTCTTGGAGCCGGAGCGCCAAGTACCAAGTCAGAGCACGGAGCAGCCAATGGAGCTAATGGTGCAGACCAAAGAAGCGAAGGAGACCTCACCGTCTGAGACGCAAAGCCCAGGTTAGTGGATGTTTTGGGGTGAGAGGGGGAAAAACTGGGCCACGGCCATCCGCAGTACTTCAAATAGGGCACTTCTGAGATAGGCCTTCCTAGCGGACGTAGTGGTTTCTGGGGGAATGATAGTGTTTTACTATTAGAAAGAACGGACTGATTGGTCCACGCCAACCTATCCACGGCTTGAGTGAGTCACGGCCGACCGCGGTCTAGATTTCCATGGTCTAGGTAAGCGGTATGAGGTAAGATGATAAGGAAATATACTCATCGTTGAGGTTTTCTCGGGGAGATGGTTTCAATATATCTTCATTGTGCCCCGCCGGCTGTTGGTCGAGTTTCGCGATCGCGTAGCTTAGCTGGTAACGTCGCTGCAAAAAATGCCACCCAATTTCTAATCCAACTCTTACTCTCCTTTCAACTTACACCGCGTCCGCGCTCACCATTCCTTTTTTCTACCCGCTAGTTCAAAAAACACGCCGCCGCTCTTTTGCCCCTTTTTTGCACACCCCCCCCCCTTCTTTCAAAAAACTCGTTATTTTTTCTGTCCTCTTTCGACCAATCCACAAAGACGGGCGGAGCAAAAAAATGTAGTTGTTTTTGGCAGGAGCGGACACGGCGATCGAATTCATCGGACAGCGCTTCAAGGGGACCGCCACGCTTGTGTGCACCACTGCGGCGGGAATCTGTGAAGCCCGAAAGTTCCTGAGAAGAATGTCAGCAAAGCTCGAGCTGACAGAGATGTTGGAATCGGGAGATGCGAGAAACTGGGAGCAGCTGGAAATTGAAGAGGGGCTTTTATTTTTGATGGAGAAGAAAAAGCAGGTCCCGAAAAGAATGATCATCAAAGAAGAGGTTGATGACGGACTTCAAACCCCGCCGCCAAAAACACAACGGGTCATGTTCATCACTGGCAACATCTTCACCCAAACGGACCCCTTCGAATGTACCAAAAAAGGAATAGAAACCGCCCGAAAGTTCTTGAAGTGGAAGGCTGATCTCCTTCATGATAAGGCTGCCTTGCATGAAAAGGCTTCCTTGCATGATAAGCTAGAGAATGAAGAAGAGGAAGGGTTGATTGGGCTTCTCCAAGCTATCCTCGAGGATCCAACGTCGGAAGACCTGGATCTCATCGAGGAGGCAATCCGATGCCTCAGGATCGCCAAGGATCGGTTTGAAACTGTCGCGAATCTCAAAGCCGAGACCGTGGACGCATCGGAGATGGAAGAGGGTGGACAAATGGAGATGAGGGAAGAAGAAGATGTTGCCCAAGAAGAAGAAGAGCAAGACACCTGCTCTGATGCAGAGACAGAAGACCCCGTGGCGTCGCCAGAAGCATCATCGTCATTTAATATGGTCAATGTGGAAGAGGTCGTCATAAAAGATGCTGACGTGGAGAAGTACCTCCAAGAACCGGCCAGTAATATTTGGGACCGCGTCACATTCCCTAATGGTAAGTTTATATTTTATTCGATCTTCATTGTAAACTTATGTTTTCAGAACGTGACTGGGATTATGGTCCTGTCGGCGATTCCCATCCCAGTCCACAGCCAGAAAGTATCCCAGAACGGCAGAACCCCATACCAATCCAGGACCGTCTTGGTGAGTATTCCATTTGAAATATGACAAGGGATCAGTTAGTGAACTGTTTTTTTAGACTGGAATCCTCCGCAAACCGATGCACCACAACGCGGAAGAATGACAAAGAAAAGGTGGAGATATAGAAGGAACAGAGCAGCGAAAAAGGCAGAACAGCGGCGTTTGGAGTGGGAGTCTAGAATAAAAAATGGTGAGTTTGAAAAACTACAATTTTTTACTAAAGTTTTTGCCATCTGTGCTATATAGAGGAAGGGGAAAAGACATGGTCATCTTACCACGGCAGAGAAAATCTTTTTTTAATTACGATTTCAGGGTACAAGAAAAAGCGGTCCAATGCGGAACGTAAAAGCAGAGCAGAGAAAAACAGAGAGAAGAAAAAGAGAAAACAAGCTAGAAAAGAAGAAGAAATGCGTTTGGAATTTGCAGCTATGAGCAACTATGGTGAGTTTGAAAAGCTTGAAATTTTTGTACATATACCAAATGATGAGCGTTCAGATGGAGATGATGAGTTTCCAGCTGAAGAGTCTGTATTGCATGTGACGGTTGCAACTCTACAGGATTACCACCACCCAATTCCTCCACCGTTAAACCACACAGGTTAGCTTGAAGCTTAATAAAAATTTTACTAGAGAGGTATTCCTCTGAATTTATGTCTCTCGAGAAGTACAATTCTAGGATGAATATTTATGGGTGACGGGTTGCCGACTTATGAGATTTTTCCCCAAAATGCCCCTCAATTTTTAAGTATCAGATAACCTGAAAATTATTTTCAGTCTACCATCGTCCCGCCCGCTACAATCCGTACTCCCGTCCACCACCACACTACCGTCAAGGCTATCGTCAAGGCTACCGTCAAGCTCCAGCTCCACCTCCACCTCCAGCCCCACAATGGAACGCTCGTCATCGTCTCGTGGTTCCCGAAATTAGTAAGTTGATTTGGGAAAAAACTAACAAATGCCACCATGTAGCTCCGTCGTGTGAATTTGCTTGCTTTGTAAACCTATATTTCGTGATGGACCCTCTTTTTTTATATCACAGACAACCCAACGAGACCAGGAAAAAACGGCTTTCGCTGGTCTAATAAGACTCGAGTCGACAGCGTCAGCTTTGGATTGCCGAGACGATATATGTAGACTTTTCGTGGGAGAGGTGCGTGTTGTATTTGGTGGCTTTTGTCTGAAAACACGAAAAAAAGATTCTATTCACGACATTCTAAAAAATCAAGCTTTTCAGGAGAGCGAATCTACTTCCCATAGAAGGACTCTACAGTCCCGGACTTCGATGTGTCAACGGGTTTCTCCTCCAATTCAAGCATTTGTCATCCAAGTCCTATACAAGTCCCTTCTCTTCTATATCCATCCCTGTACTTTTTTAAATTGCTTGGCTCTTTCACCTAAACATTAAATCTAATCTTTTGGATATGTACCAATTTAGACACAACCACTTTATATGTGCCAACTGTTCTTCCAATGTGTCTCCCAATCCTTCTCCGAAACCTCAACTTTCCTTGTCCCCAGTTCTTTGTACCACTTATGTTTGCCTTATATTTCATCACCTCTACCACCTCTATGGTTTTGCCCATGTTTTCAAAAACCCCAATTTCTCAAGTCCCCATCCCAAAGCCTCAACCAAGTCTTGACCATGTCTCTCTATTTATTCCCACCTTTCTCAAGTTGAATTTGAAGTTTCGAAGTTCCGAATAATTCCGACTCTTCATACCTTCCCATTCTTCGAGGCATATCTCTAATTATAAGCCCAGATCGTTCGAATTCTCTGTCTATAAGAAACCCCAAATTTCCATATTCCGCTTCTTCCTTCATCTTTGCCTTATCCACTTGTATGATTCTGTTCAAGTCCCCAAAAACCCCAAATTTTCTCAAAGCCTTGTTCCAAAACCTCAAATTTGATTCGATCTTGCCCCTTTTTTCATTCCCACCTCCCTCCAATTGAAATTGAAATTTCGAACCCCTCACTCCATGTACATATCTTGAAGCCCATATCCTTATAATTTCCTATCTCGTGTCTTTTTCAGATTCGTTCACTTTCTTCCATGTCATCGTTCACTCAGCATTCCCCCAATCACCGTTCCTATCTTTATTTTGCGAACTTTTGTCTAATTTTTTTTTGTGAATGAATCTTATAATCACTCAAATGATTTTTCCGGATGGTGCATAATTTTTGGTTTGTTGAGTTATGTAGTCTTCTCTGTACGATATCGGTGGATTTCAATTTTGCGTTTCTGTTAGGTTTCTTTTTTCCATTTGCATGTTTTCAGAAGATTACCAAAGTATTCATTTGAAGAGACACAACTGATACTAAACGGTGCGAATTTTTTAGGTAAGAGTACTATTCCTTTTCCTCCTATTTTATAACATTTCGGGGTACTTAAAGGAGCGTCGTAAATGTCATAGTGAGCCGAATCGGAGATGACAGAAAAAGCGAAAAAGAAGTACTCGGGAAGCAGGGTCTGAGTCTATATTTTGCAGTTTGTCGTTTCTAGGATTACGGTAGAGTTGTTATCTCTATCATTTTCCCAATCTCGTTCCCATTTCCCCAGATCATTAAGCTTGGGAAATTTCGAATATTCCCAAACAACGAAAAGGGTATGGGAAGGAGTTCCCATGACATTTTCTTCCAATCATAATTTTTTTTTCCAAAAGTGTTCATATTCAAATAACACGATGCAATCAACACCTGCTTCCCCCCCCCCCCCCCCCCTCGATGTTTTTTTTCGGAACTTTTTGAAAGAGAGAGAGAGAAGGGGACGAAGAAGTGGGGGAAGTGGGGGATGTTGTCAAAACATAAACCGGCTGTCACATTACTCGGAGATTTTTGAATTTGAAGAGAAAAATAAGAGAAGGATACTGTAGATGGGAGAGGGTGTGAACAACATGAATTTAAAAAAAGAGGGATACTGTAGATGGGGATGGCTGTGAGCAAGATGACTATAAGAAAGAGGATTACTGTAGAAGGGAGGACGGATGTAAGCAAGATAAATTTTTGCAAGGGATCTAGGCTGAAAGCTAGATTAGCTTTCAGATTTTAAATAGCTTTTTTCAACTTTGCGAGAATGAATATTTTTTGGTTGTGTAGATTAAATGATTCCAAATCGGCCAAAAGAGTTACCGTAATTGTTCAAAATTAGAACGCCGTCAGATACTTGTTATTTGAGCTCAATTATCTCGATTCCTTCAAAAGATATGACACATTTGTCAACTGATAAAATGTTTATCATAACATTAGCAACATTTTATCAGTTGACGGATTTTTTGTAAATTTCACAGAAAACGAGATGAAACGGCTCAAAGTCGAAGATATCCTAAAGTAAATGATTTAATAGAAGACCACTCATTAAGTTCACTATGAGCTCAATTATCTCGGTTCATATGAGTGATATCAAAAATTTGTCAACTGATAAAATGTGTATCATAATATCATCTAAATTTTATCAGTTAACGGATTTTTAATATCTCCTATAGAAATTGAGATAATTGAGCTCAAATGCACGTCGGGGGCTTCTAGCACAAAAACAGTAGGTTTTTGCTACTTGGAGCCAAATTGGGTTTTTTTTGTTGTTTAAATCTCCGTACTGATTTTTTCTTCTGTCATTCCTCATTTTCCCATTTTTTTAGTCGTTTCCAAATCCCACCCATATGTCCCTCTCTCCAAATTTTCAATTTTTCATTCTCATTTTTCCCCATCTAATTTTTGTTTCGGTCTTTCTTGGTGTTGGTGCCAATGGTTTCTCATCAATCAAGCTGACACGAACAGCAGGTCGAAATTGAAACGAAACGGGTGTACAAAAAGAGGATGCACTTTTTAACGCTCATGGTGGTGTCATGAGAGGGGGGGGGGGCTAGTGAGTAAGATGTCATGTGTAGAAGAATAATTGTGAATTTAGGAAAGTAGGTTTTCAGAGAGGGGCTTACTTAAGTAGAGATGGCAGGCATAGATAAATAATTATAGGTGTAAGCCGCAAGATTGAGATCAAGATTGCTCCTGTTAGAAAAAATTAACTTAGTAATCAGGTTTTCTCTAGGTTAGTTTTGAGAATTATCTCATGTACTATGTGTATATTCAAGCGCGTCAATAGTCAGTAGCACTTTTTTTTTTTGAAAAATTGAATGTCTGAAAATGTAACTTAAATTTTTGGCGCTCAAATCCCTTCAAATACTCCAAAGATATCTTACAAATTTCTGTGAATTCGGAACGCGAGGACTTACGATTCCGAAAGGTTTTGATATTTTAACTCACTTTGAGCTAAAAATCTAATTTTCGACTGGAACTTTTTCGAGGATTTTAAGTGTTCTAATATATTCTGAATGTTGTGAAGACCTCTTTAATTTCCTAATTTTGTAAATTTTGAAAGTTTTTAAGTATGGTTCCCAAGATGGAGTTCCATCTGGTTCTCTCAAAGGTGCATATCGCAGCTTTTTGGGAAGAAAGTTCCTGACAACAGCAAGGGGCAATTTTTGTATAAAAGCATTTTGATTCAAGAAAAATTTCCAGAGTTTCATTAATGGAAATTTCTGGATTTCTTAAAACATTTCTCGAAATCCTAATACTCAACTTTTGATCTCTTCACTTTTTCAGACTTTCCCAGTTATTCCCCAAAAAAAACATTTCGAATTTTCCGCTGAAAAACAAAAACCGCACTTTTGAATATGTAAACAAAAAGTAACCCTCATAAAGTATCTTACATTCCCATAATACACATTTTCTCTCTTCGTTGTCTGTGTACTCGCCTTCTCTACCTTTTTCATATGTATATTTTTCCCCATTTCCTGGCATAATTTCCTTTGCATTGTTCTGCTGAATATGTGGTGATATAGATTTATCTCTTTTATATAATTTATTACAGAGAGCTCCTGAGGCCTTAATTTGAGATTGTATTTGTATTTTTTCCTATTATTAAATGGTACCAAAGTCTGAAAAATTCGATGGATTTTTTCCTACAGCTTAACTGAACCCCCACAGGTTCCTGGGAAACACATCTATTCTTTAGGAAAAAAATGTAAGCGAAAACCGTGCGCAGGTTGCAATTTAGGCTCCGCCTCTTTTTTCTTTTCTCTGGAATCTGCTTATCTCTCTCTCTCTCTCTCTCTAACAGTAGATCCCACCTCTTCCTTTGAGATCCCCCACGCCCTTTATCTTCAACTTCTGTCATTCTAACTCCAACCCCATCTCACTTTTCTTCTCTTTCACCTACAGTATCCCTTCTTCAACAAACAGAGCATCATCTGACCAGTCATAAGAACTATACCATTAACCACTCTCCTTTTTTTTCCATTCCTCTCCTTTTTCTCCCCCCAATGAATCTCCATTATCGTTAGCTGCCTTCTCTTTATTCTTCAAATTTGCTTTTTTTGGACAGAGAGCACCCATAAAACGTTCCGAGTCGCTTGTGATGATGCCGTCGTCTTGGGTTCGTCCGAGGCGGGTTTTTTTCATCTTTTTCAGCACACGATAGTAGAATTTTGAAAAAATTTGTGTAGAAAAATGCAAATCTAGACTCTTAGCAACCACAAAAAACACATTTCAGAGCAGTGAAGTCCCTACGGAGCGGCAAAAGAAGACACGAGCACCACGACGACAACAATCGAGAAACACGGGCGGGATAGAATTTTTGCAAGGTGAGGTTTGGTTTTTGAGATTTTTCTTATGTATTTTTTTGTTTTCGTTGGGAATTGTATTGTGTAAGACCTTCAATAGACCGGCACCTTCATTTTGATCAGCTTAAAGCCCCCTTAAGCGTCGACCGTACCTGCTCTAATAGTAGCCACCTTATAGGTACATGCATTTTGAGCAAATATATCTCGGTTCCTATGCAAGATATGAAAAATTTGTAAACTGATAAAACATTGGTGATATTATGATAAACATTTTATCAGTCGACCACTTTTCGATATCATGCACAGTAACCGAGATAATTGAGGCTGAAGCGCACGTATAGGCTTGGGCTTCTATTAAAGCATTTACGGTAGTTAGGGCGCCCTTCTATTAGAGGTCTTACGGTACTTTATTGTAACCCCTCCTGGGAAAAAACCAAATTCATCTAAACTTTATTATTTTTTCTCTTCACTACTCGTTTTTTCCTCCATTTCCCTCAGTTTCCCCCCGAGCAATAGAGATAATGGCTCCGATAGGTTGTCCGAATAAATTATCATTTTGTACTCTCCAATAGGCCCACATTCCATAAAAAAGTACAAAGTTTTGGTAATGATTATGATGCTATACATATTATCGGAGAGAGAGTGAAACTCCAATTTTCGAAAAAAAAAAGAAGAGGCATGTTTGCTCACTATAAGAATGCAATTGCCCTTCTAGGTGGTCACTCGACAACCCGGTGATAGAGGGCGGCGCACTTTTTTTTTTGAAATTTGAATTTTCTTTTCAATTAAATGTATAATAAAATTCATAAATTGAATAGGCTTAACCCGGGATCCCCTGAACGGAGTTAGGATCTTAAAACTATGACGTTGCGTTTAGTTATCTCGCTTCCTTCAAAAGATATCAAAAAGTTTTCAACTGATAAATTGCTTATCATAACATGAGCAATATTTTATCAGTTGACAGACCTGTGCTATCTCTTACAGTAGCTGAGGTAATTGAGCTCAAAGGGAACTTCTGGGTGTCTTCATCTAACAGAGCTTCTCTGGACGTTTGCTATTCTGTCTTTTTTTTTAAATAGGCAGCTACAGTAATCTTTCATCCCCCGTCAATCCCACCCGCGCTGACACTTCCCATTATTCAACCTCTTTTCCGTTTGCTCCAATTTTGCTTGACTCTTCTATCCTGACGAGTCAAGATTTGTAATGAACTCGTCCTTTGCTCTCCATATCCATCTCTCATACACATTTATTTCGTTTCTATGACCGGACGGAAGCTGTCTATCTGACTGGTTTTGGAGCAAAAGAGCAACTCGTTTTTTTCGTGTGTCGTTCTTGGGAGAGCAGTAAGGAACGGCAACGCCTTCTAGGATTCACAGAAAGTAGAAACTTCTTAGCTAAAGAGTGGGAATCAGAAATGGCAAATTGGTTTTAAAGGTCATGAGAAGATTTCTCATTTTTCTAAACAATCCAGTTCTGACTATACAAAGTGAAAAGATTATTCAGATAGCCATGAAGTAGTGGCTATTTTTTTTTCTTCAAAACTTTTTCTTCAAAACTATAAAAATTGTGCGTCCGATTTTTCCGTATATCGGAAAGTTCGGAGAAAATTGATTCTGCACACTTCTCATCGGTTTAATTTTTTAGAAATGATTTTAATTGTTCCTATGGTGGTCCCAAACAACCCAAAATAGTTACCGTAATCTCTCCAATAGAATGCCACCTTCCCCTTCCTCTTTGAGCTCAATTATCTCGGTGCCTTTAAGAGATATCAAAAATCTATCAACTGATAAAATGTTTGTTATAATATCACTAACATTTTATCAATTGACAAAGTTTTGATATCTTTTAAAGGAATTAAGATAATTCAGCGCAAAGTCCAAGTATAAAGAATCGTTCTGTAAGTGCGGCATGTCTGCTTTTTTCATTTTCCGTACAAATTCAGTAAAACTAACACTTTTGAACGCTATCACAGTGAAATGTAGTCTTCTGACTTTTCTTCTAAAATATAAGTTTCTTATTCTGTTACGTTACATCTCCGTCTTCGTTTTAATCTATGATCCTACTTCTAGCTAGCCGATTCATCTCCCCTATGATCCTACTTCTAGCTAGCCGATTCATCTCCCCTATGATCCTACTTCTAGCTAGCCGATTCTAGAAGTACTCAATCAAGCCAGAAGTTTTTCTGCCTAAAAAAATCGAGATTGGACTTTTTCAACCCCACACCTGGTTCAGTTTCCAATTTATCCAGATTGGACACCCGAACTTTTTTCTCCTTTTTTCTCTCAATCAGAGATGTATTAGTAGTAGATTTCTGTCAGCTGTCAAATTTGGGAGGGACACCACACATAATATTCGAACACCCCCAGAGAAACAGCTGCAAAGGGTCGGCGCGGTGGTGCCACATCTGTCACTTCGGCGCCTTCAGTACCCGAACACGGGCGGTCAAATGCACATTGTGCACAAGAATCCCACGGTTCGACTATATTTGTATTCGTTTTTCCTGACTCCGAACACATAAATACAATCATTCTTCTTCTTCTTCTTCTTCTTCTTTCCCCTTTATTTCCTTTCTCTACATTTTTTTTTCGTTTTGTGAACCTTCCTTTTTTGGCACCCATTTCCGCTGAGTCGGAGACGAAATTTTACTGGGAACGCACCGAATTAACGTAAAGGTTGGGATTGATTTAAGAATTGGGTAAAAATGAGAGGTTTTCAGTGTAACACATCATCTAACCATAAGTCAGAAGTTCTAGGTAGAAGCTTAATGCACTTTTTTTAGGATTCCATTATTCTCGAAACAATGACCTTTCCAGTGTATTGCCCGAAAAAAACCATTGACACTTGGCTTGGAAAATTTTGTAATAAATGAGACAGGATGGCGAAGAGGTTTACTATAATGCATTCCAGTGCTTCAAAGTTCTAAGAGTTCGAATTACAGTTTACCGTATTTGCTCTAATAGAAACCCACCATATACAGGGTGCGGCTCAATTCTAAAAATTGTCATGCATAGGCACAATGTTCTTGGCAATCTAACAGTAATGGTCTGTTGATTCTCTGGGCAACCAATCCTCAACAAACCATGACTTTTGGAGGAATCACTTCAAATGAGAAAAAAACCCTGTTTTTGGTGGAGCCTGGTCTGCAAGTGTACCAAGATTACTACTTCTGGTGAAACTAATACTGCCTAACTTATGATCTAACTTTGGATAGCGGATTCGGACTTCCTAAAAAAATGTATCGTCTGCTGAGACGGCAAAACATGTTTAGCAGGAGTGCCAAGCCAATTCCTCAAATTCGGTCTCCGAATAAGGATGGCCTGTCTCTAGTTAGGTCACAATCCGATTGAGAATTCCGCACATGCAACTCTTTAAGCATATGTTCAAATAAGTTTTCACACAATTTTGGATGCTCTCGAAAAAACACCTTCCGCGGAATTGAACCATTTGCCGGCAGATCACCCCCGTGCCAGCATAAACGTTACTCGAAGAAGGCGAGCCCCGCCATTAGGAACAGCGCTGTCTGAAGCCAACAACTACGATTTAATTTTGTCACAAATCTCTTTAATGAAATCCTGTAAAAATTTGAACCGGATTCGACTATTTTCCGAGAAGTTATGACGTCTTCTTTGGGTAACATAACTTTTTCCGCACCTTGTACATGCGCTTTGAGCTCAATTATCTTGGTTCTTTTAGAGGATACCGAAAAGTGGTCGACTGATAAAATGTTTATCCTATCATCATCAATATTGTATCAGTTAACAAAATGCTGATATCTTTTGAGGAAACCGAGATAAATTGAGTCAAAGCTAAGAGGGCACTTTGGTAACAAGTTTTGAAGACCGGTTGTCAACTGGACTTTTGGTCATAACTTGATTCGAAATTTGAAGTTCAGAATGATTCAAATTGTAAAAAGTAGGTCTTGCTTGGCAAGCTCTATAAAATGGCATTAAACTTCAATAATATATTAATTTTGATTCGTTCTGGAACTCCGAAATAGGTAGTCTATTAGAGCAAACTTCGTTAAAATCGTTACAATATTCGTTGTGGCACTTAGTCCTAATGAAGTCTTTTTTTAACGGTTTATCTTATGAAAAAAACGACAGATACCATATATGGAAGGTAGCCACGCGATGTGTGAACACTAATCGCTGTACACCGTCACGTCAAAATGCATACCCCCTTTGAGACATTTTAACTCTTCTCAATTTCCGCGCTTCACCACTTATTACACCTAAATGGCATTTTACGATTCCCACTCTCCTTTTCAACATACTTCCTTTTTCTTTCCTTCGTCTTTTTCCACTTTTTTTGCTTTTTCGTTTTTCTGTGCATCGTTCATCTTGTCAAGAGGAAGAGTCCCAAAAAAGAGTACAATCCTCTTCTTTCTTCGTTTCTCGAAAACCCACAATTTGTTGAATTGGCTTTTCGTGAGCATGTGAGGGTGGAACTGGCTCTTGAAGAAGGATTTTTTGTACTCCGGGAGGTGGTGCATGCCCATAAAACCAGAGTCTAACTATCATTTCCTTCCGAGGTTCCTGCCTAGACAATTACCTTTTTTTAGTAGAGGTTGTATGGTTTTGAGGAATAAGAGTTGAATGTTGATGCTAGATTGTTTGGAGCAAGGGAGATCCCCTGTGGGGTTTAAAATCCAAAAAATGTACTTTAAATCTCATGTGATTCTTAGTGCATGTTTTGGGACCACGACGGGATCAGAATAATACATTCGAGGTGCAAAGCCGCCTGAATCGGTCTTATTCCGGGATTCCTGGATTCCTGGATTCTTGGGTTCCTGGGTTCCTGGGTTCCTAGATTTTTGGTGTCCTGGTTTCTTGGATTCCTGAAGTCCTGGATTCCTGGATTCCTGGAATCCTAAATTCCTGGATTCCTGAATTCCTGGATTCCTGGACTCCTAGGTACATGGATTCCTGGATTCCTAGGTACATATTTGGATTCATGGATTCCTGGAGTCCTAGGTATATACATGGATTCATGGATTCCTGGAGTCCTGGATCCTTGGGTTCCCGACTTCTTGGGTTTCTCGATTCCTGGATTCGTGGATTCCTAAATTCTTAGATTCCTAGATTCCTAGATTCCTGAATTCCTGGATTCCAAAGTTTTTAAAAAATAAAACTCAAGATTTCCGAAGACTACGTTTTTAAACTATAAAAGATGGTAACCAATTTTTTAAAGTTTTCTGATCTTCAGATCTTTTGATTCCGAGTATTTTAAAATTCTCGGTTTTCTCATTTTTCCCTATTAAATCCAGCTTTCTAGTACGATTTTTCTTAAAAGTCTCCAAAAAATTCAAATGTTCTCTTTCCCAATAACGATCGGAAATTTTCATAATTCAAAATTTCATAATTCAATTCGAACCTCTCTTTTGATGATCTGTATCCCCTCTAGTCTTTGTCGTGCCTGTTACGATCACATAAACAACTCAGATAGCCCTCTTGCTTAGTTTTTTGTCGCTGTCCTCATTTAGCGGTGTTCTTTTGTATGATTCCTGTGGATTCCCGCCAACAGATGAGTTAGTATAAACAATTACTGGATGGAGGGGTCGGTGGATACTTGATAGCTAGAGCTACCGTACCAGATAATGCTGGGTGGTTTCGAAAATCGTGGTTGGATGACAGATGAGGCGTGGTATTGTAGATGGGCCAAACCACGGCCTCGAATTTTGTGAAACCTAACTAGTTTGAGTTCAACTTGAGAGTCACAGTGATTCTATTAATAGAGCAACATTTCCAGAACCATAAAAAACGTGTTGATGTCACAAGCTCTTATCCGTCTTTTAGAAAACCGAAAAATTCCCTGAATGTGCTCTGTTGACGGCTCTTGAGATGATGAGTTTGTGTACAATTTTGTACCAAAGACGTACCACCGAACAACTCATGCCACTAAACACCGTAATAAACGAGACTATCCCTCTGATCACATATCTATATCGAATACCACAAGTGCGATTTGTACTCCTATTACATCATAGATTCTTTTTTGCCCTCTTAACTAGGTATCCTCCTGTTACGGATGGTAATAAAATGACGCAACCTGATGAGCAAGTGACTCTTCCCCCGTTCTCACTTTCCTCTTTCTTGTTCCTCCCACCACCACATGGTGTTCATAATACCATTATTGGTCATTGTTTCAAGTCTTCTTGTGTTTTTTAATGTCAAGATTGTTTCCGATATTCTGTGGTTATTGTTAGGGTTAGCGCTATTGGAAAAACATTACAAGTCGTCTTTCTCTTTTTTTGACGTTGTCGGAATTTTTGTCTCTTGCACTATGCTAGAAGTAGATTAGAACGAAATTATGGGCACACAGCCGTCGTTGGATCTTCAGATGTTGTCGACGCTGTTCTATTTTGTAGTTTCTGATGTGTGATCCATTCTCCATTTCGTTTTTTTTAAATATCTCGTTCCTGTGATTTTTCCTGACAGCTTCAAAATTCGAAATGGTTGTGGCCCATTGCTCCTTACATTGCTCCTTCTCTGCGCTTATTCGCCGTTTACTGTAGCTCTGGGAGGGTCTTGAGTAGCCGCTAGTCTTTCAACGTGCGCGCGCACACACATGTATCCGTTCTTATGACCCATGGTGAGTAGTTATTGCTCTTCAATCCGTACTACGCAACCGTCTTCTTGTGAGTTGTCCTTGTTTCTACTGCTCGGTTAACTTTTTGCCCGCTAGATAACTTTCATTGTTTCATCCAGAACCTTTGTGATTTCTCTGGTGTTTCAAACTGTCGGTTTTTTTTATTCTTGTCAAAGTCAGATAAACCTTTCCTAGATTTTTCAACACTTCATTTTCGCATTCTACCTAACTTTTACAAATCGAATTTTCGTCATACGCCAACCCAGGGCACGCTTTCTCAAATCCTACCTCAGCTCCGAGGCAGAGCATTGGATCCCACAAATTTTAAAGAAACCCCGCCTCTCATCAACTTCTCTGCATTTTTTTCTCTCGTATCCGAACCTCAGAGCTCATTTACTGACTCCATTCATATTTCAGAGCAACCGACGGGACGGACAGCTGAGTGGTTTAGCCTTGGACATTTGCAAGGACTAGATTTTTTGGAGGTGAGTTTTCTTGATATGAAATAATCTTTTCCAATTAGAGCCATGTATTGTGCCATTTGAGCCATATCTTGCCCCGTAGTCATATCTTGTTTCATCAGAGCCATAACCTCTGAAGTTTCCAATCGGCTCGTTCGAAATCGGGGCTTACTAAACAAAAGACCTCAAAAGTTGAGACTTATAAAAATTCATACTCCTTCGAAGCTCCAAAGAAGCCTTGTACTGCTCTGCAGTGATGGGAGGAATTTCCGTTTTCGTTTTAGTTTTCCGTTTTCCGCCTGATTTTTAAAGATTTTTTTTCCGTTTCCGTTTCCGCGGGAAAAAATTTACGATTCCGTTTCCGCAAAAGTGAATATTTATTTCCGTTTCCGTTCTCCGTATTTCGGAAAAATGCGTTTCATCCCATCACTGCTGCTCTGAACCTCACATTTTAATCTTCTTCATTTTACCCCTATAAATAGATTTCTGACTCATTCCTACAGTAGTACTCCTTCTCCTCTTCCTCCTCGACATTTTCCCCCAATTTCCAATCAAATCTATACGAAACACATTAACGTTGTTTTTTTCGTTTTTTCCTCTCATCCAATCTGGCAAATGTCTAATCAAATCCGTACAATCCATAAACTCTTTTTTTCCACTTTTCTCGGAGCTCCATGTTCACCCGCTCTCATTATTGCGCGGCGGCGGCGCCCACTTTTTGATTAAAAGTGGCGAGCACTTTGCGTTTTTTTTTGTTCCTAGAAGCATGTGAAATGAGAAACGGCTTTTTGTTATTGCTTTTTTGATTCATCTACTAAAACATTCTGGAATATTTCTTTTTTGTTTCAGAATCTCCTCATACATGAGACCTTCTTCCTCGTCAGAGCCAAAGGAAGTTCCAAAGGAAGAGACCAAATTTAAAAGGCCAAAAGTAGGGAATGTTCTAGAAACTTATGAGATTATTGATTTTAGAATCCTGTGTTTAAGGTGGAGGAGGACGAGTATGGGGTGTCGTCGACGACCAAGAGCAAAAGGGTCTTCAAAATGTCCCCCATGGTCGCGGCGAAGATTTGTGAGAAATGCGAAGCGGAGGCTGTGAAGCCGGTGAGTATAATTACCGTAGTACCTGTAATAGAAAGGCCTTTTTTACAGAAAACAAGATGCGCTAACACTCAGATGCGCTAACAGCGAGGGTGCCCTTCTATCACTGATATTACGGTAACAGCGCTGAAGAGCGTTCGTTATAAACTTATGGATTTTTCAAGGGGGCTGATTAAAATGCATGGTTTCGCCACTGTTTGTAGAATGACGTCAATTTGTACAGTTAGTTTACTTTGGTTTGATTCAGATGCACTGGAAGCCTGGGTGTGAGTCATTGTCTTATTTTTCTGGAGGTACTGTAGACTTAGTCATTCTGGAGATGCTGTAGGTTTAGTCATTCATGAGATACTGTTGACTTAGTCATCCTGGAGATACTGTAGGTTTAGTTATTCAGTAGATACAGTAGACTTGTTAGTAGAGACTTTATAAAATAACTATTTATGTTAGTACTCGTACTACAGTATCCCACCTTCTTCAAAGGAACATAGATTGGTGTAAACCAGTAGTACAATGAGCCTAGTAAGGGAACGCCAAAACCCAAATTGATTATTGTTTATTGCTCGCCTTATTGATTATTGCTCGCCGAGCATCTTGGTTGTTACAGTAGGAAAGTAGTTTCAGATACCAATTTTTCAGTGTTACTGGTCATGTGGCTGAATACTACAAACTATAGCTCCAGAATTTGGATTTCAAACGCGCGCCACACATTCTTTATCGTATCGTTCAATTGTTGTTTGTCCCCTCTCTGAATGTAATTATGTGAATACAATTTTTTTCCTTAAATCCCTGTGAGAATTCTAGTCAATTTCTAATAACTCTAGTCCGTTCCCTTTCTTCTAGTCTTGCCATATTCCTAGTGTGATAGCTCAAACCCACCCCCCCCCCCCGTGAATCAATAAAACCTTCAGGCCAACTTCACAATCTTTACAAATGGTTTCTTTTTGTCTAACCGTGTGACCGGGTCCATATCTTCTCTGAATTCTATGATTATATCTTTCATAACTCTCGATATTTCCAGTTTTAGAAATGGCAGGTCCTTCAGACACTAACCCAGTTAATGTGAGTGCATGAGTAGCAGGTAGTAAATAGAACTAATAGAGTTTTAGAACAAAACCAATGTCGAGGTCTGTCAGGAGATCGCAAATGAGAATGAGGCAACGAACGAGGCGCCAGAAGATCGAGAACGTTGGATTGTATGCTTCTATGGTTCTAGAGATAGTATTCATGGGTTAGCTGGATGAACTTACTAATTTAGCTTACTAATTAGCTTACTAGCTAGCTAATTTTGCTTATCAGCTTACTTTAGATGAATCCCAAATTTCAAAACATTCCCTAACTCATGAGAACTCTCTTTCTTGCATCTCTTAACTCCTTTCATCTATAATTTTCAGCGGTACTACCGCGTGGTGCGTGATCGCATGCGTCGCTTCGGCGAGAACATCGACATTGCCATGGATCGTGTCGCCTGGATCTTCTGAAGCATGGTTGTGCCAATGATTTCTTTTGGGTGTATGGGTTTTATTTAGTTCAATAAGTTTCGCTGCCGAATAAATGATTTTTGCCACTTGTAACTGAGTGAGAGAAAGGAATGGGATCTGCATCACAAGGGAGTTCAAGTTAGTTTAATTTTGGTATGGTTCAGAGCGGAGATCGGGAGTGTTGGTGTAAGTGTGAGAGACGGGAGCCCCGTTGCCAACCCTAGTAGATTATAAGCAATGTGTAAGTCGGATACAAGATTTCTACAGGATTTTAGAAGCTCATGAGATGTGGGAAATAGAATCGGAGGGGTTTTCGACTTTAGGGGGTTAAGCGCGAGAAACAGGACTAGTGAATGCGCTAACGTCGAAGGACTGACAATGATGCAAAAAGTCTGGAGCAGAGTTGGGCAATACTTATGTACGAGGGACGGGAACCTACCTCTATACGAGAGAGTTTCAAAACTGGACCGGGAAATGAGATCCGGGATACAAGTACCAGTGGATCATGCAAAACATGGTTCAGCTTGATTCATTGCACCGATTGATTCTAATTTTATGTTGTTTTTCTTTTTATAAAACGGTTTTTTTTGCAGAGTCGTGCATGAGTACTGCTGAGTTCCTGATTTCTTTTCCATTTTTGTAGGTCACTTGTTTCATCAACTTCCTATGCCCCTGATACGCCCTATTGAAAATTTTCTCATTAGAGCATATTTGCTTTTTCCGTTCTAGACCACCACCCAATCAACGATACCTTCGACTTCTAAATGTATCCCATATTTTCCTTCCTTTCCAACTTATCCACCTGTAGTTTGGGTGAAGTCTGCTAGGTACGGTTTTCCGAAAAAAAACCGAATTTCTAATTTTCTTCACCCAAAAAGCAACCACTTGTCATCTGGTACAACGGCTTTCCGCTCTATCAATAGAGCGCTTTTGCCTCGCCTGAAGATTGTTAATTTTTTATCTGATTTTCTTATCATGCAATCATTTTTTTGTAACTTTCTTCCCCAATAAATAATAACAGCCACCAAAAAGAAGCCAAGAAAAAAGTGTCCGTCGTGTTTTACGTTTCCAAGCGGTTCGAATACTTCTAAACCACTATTCTGGAATAGCTGGAACGTCTTCATTTTAGAATGACCAGAGCTCCAGTGTGCAAGAAGAAGGACAAGCTGTCGGTCCGCCTTCGGATGTCGAGCTACTGGAGACGTCAGAACCAGTACATCCAACGTATCTGGGGAAGACTCACCAGTCGTTCGGGGACCACCCAGGTACTAGAAGGGATTTTTCTTTTTGGGATTTTTCTTTAAACTGAAAAGTTTTAGATTTCCCCTGCTCCGATGGAGCAAGTCCAACGGCACGAGATGAGTCTTCTCCACGAAGCTTGTGCTCGTCTTCTGAAGACTATCCAACTGGATAATGAGCGCCAGAAGAAGTGGAAAGAAGATTTTTGAATAATCCACTTTAGATTCTCTGAGATTTTAAGATAAAAAAGGAATCTATGTATTGCTTCATTTGAACCATACCCGTCTATCTGCGGTGTTATACCTTACCTTACGAGTCTATAATTCCTATTTAGAGGATAAATCCCATTTCCAGAACTTTCTAATGGACCGATATCCTGGACGCTGGTGGAATCCGTGGACCTACTTGAAGAACTATGTCGCGGAGACATGGGAACTTGTGCTAGAGCAACGACAACTATATGTAACTCAAAAAAATCTATTCTAAAATTCTAAGAATCACAAATTTCAGAAGGAGGATCAAGAAATACGAAGATTGGAGAGAGAAAATCGTCGAGCGTTGTGTGATTCTCGGAATCAGGAATCAACGTCAACAGAAGCTCCAGAAGCCGTTCAAAATTCCACCCCGTTATGGGAACGAAAAGTCAAAAAGTCTAGAAAAGTGGTTGGTTATCAATAGAGGGACTTTGCAATATTAAGCATTTCAGGATCCCAAGGACCCACTCGCGAAGCACGTCTACCATTTGGAGAATCCGTACATGAACCCATTTGAGGAGCCGGAGCCAAAAATTTGGCATGCGCCGGGAACACCAGAAGCGAAGCTTGAGATGGAGAAGAGGAAGAAGGAGAGAAGGAAGGAAAAGAAAAGATCGGATATACCAGTTTGACAGCCAACATGATAATATTAACTTTTTTTCACAATTACAGTAGTCAAAAGGCAAAAAGCCCTCCAACCCGCCAACTTTGAACCCATGTATCTCATTCCCTTTAAAAGATACCAAAAAGTGGTCAACTGACAGAATGTTTATCATAATATCACCAACATTTTATCAGTTGACTATTTTTTGATATCTTCTACAGGAACTGAGAAAAATAGCCTCAAAGTAAAACTACCAGATCTTGCCGAAACCATGTCCTCCAGCATAATACGCATGAAACTTTGGTCAAAAACATCCTTCTAATTTTGCCCAGCCAATGTCCAAAGAGTCAAGGGCAAGCTGGCCAAGATTTGCCTCTGACTTCTGAAATTGTGACTCATTTGTATTTAATTGTATTTGACTTTTAACTCAATAATTACTTTATCTCGCATTTTTGTGTCATACCCTTCTTATTCCATATTCTCCAATAGATGCTCATCCTCTAGGTCCACTTTGAGCTCAATTATCTCGGCTCCTCTAAAATATATCAAAATTCGGTCAACTGATAAAATATTGCTGATATTATGATAAAAATTTTATCAGTTGTCAGATCTTTAATATCTCTCATAGGAACCGAGATAATTAGGCTCAAATCAGATGGGCTTCCGTTAGAGCAACTACTGTATATTAGGGTTTCCATTTGGGGGGCGATTCACCCGCCCGCACCCACCCG